TTTTAGATATATTCAGGTTGCCCGATTACAACCATACTACTTTACCAATGGAACCAAAGTTGAAGGTTAAGACGTATCAAGACGGTAAAAAGTTTACCCAATCAAATATAGGCAAGTATTGGATTGTTTGAGGTACTCTACTTACACTTGACCAGACTTGTCATTTGCAGCTAGAATTTCAAGTCATTTATGGAGAAACCGATAACGTCACATTTCCAAGTATTAAACGATGTTTTTTGGTGTGTAAAAGGAACCAATAAGTGTTGAATATTTGAAATGGTCATAAAAAATACTAGGTTGTGTTTACTGAGAGTGATCTTGCAAGAGTACAAGCAAGATGATCTTCTATCTTTGAACGAATGCAGTTACATGGCAATCTCAAAAGAAAAATATTGTTTCTTTGTGAGCATGTGATGTCGAGTTCGTGGCACCATTGACAATGATATGTCTAAAAATTTGGCTTGGGAATCATGTGAAAGAGATTGCAGGACATCAAATCATACCTATCACTTTGTGTGTCGATAACATGTTGTCAATTGCCTTAATGAAAACATCTAGAGTTTTTTGGTCTAAATAAGAAAGTTAAAATTCACTTTCACTTCATATGGTAGTGTTAGAAATGGAAACTTTATAGTCGAATATGTTAATTCGAAGGATCAATGATATACAATCACTTGGTGTACTGGATACATAGCTTAGTTGGGTTAAACGGGGATAATGTGATATTTAAATTGACTGGATAGATGGATAGCTTGACAAATTTGATATGTTAGCCTTGTAGGATAGCTTAGTAGTTAGGTAAGATACCTGGATAGATGAATAGCTTTCCAGATTAGAATAATGCAAATCCCTTACTATGAAAATCTTATTAATTGACAACCTACCATTCCTCCATGTTTTCTATAGATTTATGTAGATTTTATTTGTATTTATTTAATGATGGTATGTGTATATGTAGCATAGTTTAATATTTTAATATTAAGTGTCATAACCTATATAAGGAGTGAGTGTTTTCGTTTATAGATTATCTTAAACTTTAATAAACTATTTTCATTTTAAATAAGAGTTATAGTTTAGCAAATGCTTTCAATAAGAATATATTATGTTGGTGAACTTAGTTCATGTATCCATACCTAGCTATCTCCATGATGTGATCAATTTTTTGTATATCTTTTTTGATGTTGATTAAAATATTATAGACTTAAAAAGCCAAAACACATCTAGACCAAAAATACATTGTACTAAATACATGAAGAATCCAAAACATAAAACAATTAGAAGAAAGAAAATAGGCATCCACTAAACTAGAAAAACACCAAAAGTAAAAGAAACATCAAACAAAAGATCTTTAATAGAAACAAAATTTGTAAAGTAACCCCTAGAAGCCTCAATAAACATTGACTATCTAAATTGAAGTCAACATGATCCATCACAAAAAATGTACTATGAGGAGTAAAAGACCCAAGATATATGAACCAACTTGTTATTTAATAGCAAAAAGACTTTGATAGCAATCCTAAAAGTATAAACCAACTTGTAATTTTGAGGATCTTAACTGATACCAAGATGAGCCACAAATCAAATGCATTGTGAAGAGTAAGTTAAGAGTAGAAATAACAACCGAATTTGTACTTTTATTAG